CTGAAGGCCTTCGAAACTGCATTTAAACTTTTTAAATCGAACGGCTGGGGAAAAAGTTGAATTTTTGGCCGTTTTTACCGAGGGCCATAAGCCGCCTATTGGCCGGCCAATTTTGATGTTCAAAATTGCCAATGTTATTCATTTTTCATGTACTTCCCATTGATATATTACATTTGAGATGAAAAGTTACTGGAAAAAATAAAACACAAATTTATAGGCGTACGCTCAATTTTGTCCATGACTGTATTTATTTCATTTTTCTTATTTTCCACTCCATATAACACAAGACAACATTGGCTGCCTGTTATCTTGGTAAATTCGATAGTTTCACCGAAGACTACCAGAGTGACAGTGATAGTAGTGCATCAGTATCATCTTCGGAGAGCGATCACAGTGACAACTACAGCGACTACAATGACGAATGCGAGTGAACGAAGATGATGTTGGATGATGACAGCAACAAATATAAATTAAGATTAGTTTTAAGAGAAAAATACAAATGATAATACCATTATAGAACTTAGTTCTACGTCGTGACAGTGGTTGCTGAAAAGTCGAAAGAGACTATTCTTACAGCATAAGACGCAAACAATTCGGCGAATCCGTTCGAAAGAACTGGAGTGCTTTGAATCTCCAATATTTCTCATTGTTATTGCGGTACAATTTACTATTCACTAAATAATAAACTTTGTATGGTAAAGTTCGCGTGAGTATTCCAATATCTCTCCCGCATCCGGCTGCAAAATAATTGCGGTCGTTCTTTTCAGGAAGCAGAGCATGCAATTAGTTTCTATCAAAATCTAAGCAAATGCCCTAGTGATAACTTGATACTTCAACTCGAAATGAAGAAAATACAGCGAGCGTTTATTGATGAAGAGTCGAAAGCTTCCTTTAAATGGTCTGATTTAAAGGTGAAACCAGCTAGTAGGGCGATAATCACAGTCAATTCACTGGCTGTTTCGCTGTGTTACAATATACTGCAACTATTTTTGAACATGCAAAGTCTCATATGCCACCGAATGATGCCACAATCGTCATTGGAGCAATCACACTCATCGGCTCAATTATGTCAACTTATTTTGTTGATCGTGCTGGGAGAAAGGTATTGTTTGTAAGACTTTTTCAACTTCATAATGAGACTTATACAAGTGATATATCTCCCACACCGCTGCTCCTATTTACGTTATCAACGATTGGAGCAGCTTCAGGCTTCATAGTATTGGCCTTATTTGTCTTGGTGGAATCGCATGGCGTGGATGTTGAAGGATTTAGGTGGATACCGCTTGTAGGCTTCTCAATTGCTATATTCTCGTCATCATTGGCCATTCTGAATCTGCCGGTATGAGATTATTTTAAATATGCCAATTGAAATGAAGTGACAAATTAATTTTCTTCGTTTTCTTCGTCCAGTACGTTATCATATCGGAAATTATGCCCGAACATATCAAAGACTTTGCCATCTCGTTCTCTTTGAGTGTGTTGTGGGCCTCCACATTTATCGTTGTAAAATTTTTACCCCATTTGACTGAGACAATTGGTTTTCCTGCCACAATGTTCATATTTGCTTTAATGTGTGTGCTCGGCGGAATTTTTGTTGTTTTTTTTGTCCCCGAAACAAAAGGTAAAAGTTACGAGGAAATTATGAGTTCACTGCGCGAAATGTGACGGATCGATAGAAGCAAACGTTTTAATACTAGTTGATAAGACCATACAGTGTGTAAAACGATATTAATTAAAAGTTTTCAAGAACTGACAAGTTACGTATTGCCTCTGTTGTACCAGGAAGGAAAAATTTTGGATTCGCTTTGATAGATTTGAATTCAATCATTTGATTGATTGATCGATCGATAAGTAGTCGATGGGAAATTAAGATTGATAGATTTTGATAATAATACGGTTTCAATCGATGACCCAAAGCTCGTCAGTCGTTATTTTCAATTTGAACGTAGTCATAAAATACTTTGATTGAATGAACATACAATACTGAGCAAACATTGAAAAAACCCATAAATCACATACGGTTTTGGGTCAATTTCTGAATATTTGTATACTTTTATGGAGAATAAATGAAGAAAAAACAACGACATCCGATAAAATTACAACGAATTATACATTAATCATTCATGGATATACAATTTCGATTCAAACAATTTCGCTCTATCTCTCTTTAGCATCTAGTTTCTAGTCTATTGTTCCATCGATAAAGAGATGTCAATTACAAATTAGAATACTCTACAGAAAGGCTATGTTTTTATACGTCATAGGTGTAGGCAAGTACTGTTTCGATTCGACTTCAGGCCGTTTTCTTTTCTATTCGGTAGAAAAAATGCAGAAAAACCAAAATTCATTTGAAACTGAATTGAAACAGCTGTTTTAGCTGCGTTAGTTCTTTTTCTTCAAAAAAAAAAAAACAAAATATGAATATACGTGCGATTGTCACGCGACCAAGTTCATTCCGCCTACTAACGTAGACAAAATTAGCCGATAACAACTAATCTATAGTAATTTGACGAATCCGTAAATAGATCGGATACGTTTTTTTCATTTTCGCCCGTTTGAATAAGTACGCTTGTGTACTCGGCGCTTCTGCTTAACACTGGTTCGTCAACGCGATACATTTTAATGAGAAAAAAAGTTCTAATCACACATTCGCAGCTATTTTAATAAGTGTTGAATGTCAAAACCGGTTATTACAATTTAGTGATATCATTTAACCGCAGCCAGGGCATGCTGTTTCATTTTATGAAAATCAATTCCATCAGCGATAGTGTAACGGTCATTTCTGAATGTTACTTAACACCGAATACTTACGAATGTCAATGTTAAGTATACAATAACTCCCACACTGACGTTTCATGTGACAATTCGGTTGGTTGTCATTAGAGAAAATCTATTACAAACATTAGTTGAATAATTATCGCGTTGAAATGGGCCCTGCTGTGAATTTCACGAATATACTTGTTCCGATCGCCGCATTTCCTAGTCATAATCAGTGAGCGTTTGATTTCACGTCGCATTGATCAGTCTCGGTTGCTAAACGATTCACAAATGGAAAAAAGAGAAACGAAACCAGCGCAAAGCGCTAAATATCAGTACATTGGTACCTTTGTGGGTAAGAACTGAAGCAGAAAAAGAGATATACGCTTTTTATGTGTGAAATCTAATGAGTTTATAATTTTATTTATTGACAAAAAATGTGTTTATTTTTATTTGACTGTATTGTTTATAAAGCATCTGTAAAAAATTGTATTTTTTTCTTCATTTTTGAATAGTAAATTTATTATCAATTTCTTATGGCGTCTCCGGTGGTTGGGCAAGTCCTAGTATAATTTTGTTGATGTCGGATGAAACGCCGTTGCCATCAGGCAAAATCACAATGGAAGAAGCCTCTTGGATTGTGTCATTAGTGTACTTGGGTGGTATTCCGGGAAATATGGTTTTTGGTTTCATCACCAATCGCTTTGGCCGAAAGTGGCCATTAATTATTGCGACAATTCCAATCATCATCAGCTGGTTGCTCATTCTATACGCGGAGAATCTTTATCATTTGTACGCGTCGCGACTGTTGAATGGCTTCATCGGTGGTGGCCTATTCGTATGTTCAAATTGTATATTTTCTTTCCGATCTTGAGATGAACTTAATTTTAATCTTGAATTTAAGGTCGTGATTCCTTTGTACCTTAGTGAAATATCCATCGATAGGTATGAAATTATTTTAAAACATGCTAATTGAAATGAAGTGACAAATTAATTTACTTTCAGTGTACGAGGTGTTTTAGGATCGACATTGATATTGTCCGAAAATGTTGGCATCTTGTTGGCCTTTACTTTGGGCTATCTGTGTGATTTTTACACAATTCCAAAGGTGGTAATTGGATTGACTGCGTTGTGCGCTGTTTTAATTTGTTTCTTACCCGATACTCCATCGTTTCTTATGAAACAAAATCGCATAGATGTGAGTAATTATGATTACGTCTATAATTTTCGGATTTATTTCTTTTTTTTTGTTATCGAAAACTATTGAGAACTTGATTCAAAATTACAATCCATCTTTACAGTCCGCACGGAAATCGATTCGATTCTATCAAAATTTAAGGAGAAAGAACACTGATTATGACTTGGTGCAGATGGAAATAAAAAAACTGCAAAACACAATTCCCGATGTAAAAACGGAACGTTCAATGAAATGGTCTGATTTGACAACGCGACCGGCTCGTCGTGCCATTCTCATTGGAGTTGTTTTAATGGCAATGAATCAATTATGTGGAGCATTTGCCATGTTAAACTATACGGCATATGTATTTGAAGAGGCTGGATCGAGTATGTCATCGAATGAGTCGGCGATTGTAGTGGGTATAATTTCAATTCTGGGATCTCTGATCTCGACAAATCTTGTTGACCGAGCCGGGCGGAAAATCCTGTTTTTCGTATCTTCCGTTGGGGCTGCCTTGGGTTTAGTTACATTGGGTACATATGTGATGCTAAAATCGTGGGATTACGACGTTGAACCTTTCAATTGGATTCCAATTGCAAGTTTTTCATTTGTCGTTTTCATCGCATCGTTGGGCGTGTTGAATCTTCCGGTATGAGATTATTTTAAAACATGATTAATTGAAATAAAGTGACAAATTAATTTTTTCAGTTCTTGGTGATCTCAGAAATTTTCCCGGAAAATATCAAAGACTTTGCCGTGTCATTTTGCATGATAGTGTTGGAACTATTAACATTTATAGTGGTAAAATGGTTACCGTTCATCATGGGATCACTTGGTTTTCACGGAAGTATGTTCCTGTTTGCCGGTATATGTTTGCTTGGCGAAGTGTTTATCATTATATTCCTGCCAGAGACAAAAGGAAAAAGCTACGAACAAATCATGGACGCACTTCGATAATTTTTGTACCGATAAGAAACTATGAATTTCATAATGTCATTGATAACGATTTTACAGCGTTGTAAAACCTGCTGTGAACAATTATCTATTGACCCATCCAAGAACGAAACAAAAAGTACAAACACTTGCACGTTGTGTCTTTTAGTCATTTTTTTTGTAACGTGATTGTCACACATAATATTTATATTTTGAATAAATGGTACGTAAATTTGATTTTTTTTATTTTTATTTTAATAAACACCGCCAAGCTCTGGCTGAATATAATGTGGGTTTTTGATTAAGGTTTGGCCGGAAAAGAGTGCAAGACTGTTACATATTTAAAATAATAAACATTTAGTAGCGATTTGAAATGAAACGATTTGATTATTCACGATTTCTATTCTAAACACGACACACACAGAAAGTAAAACAAAATATGAACTGATGACATCGAATTTCACAGCTTTTTATTCCGAAATTCGTGAATAGAATGAAGTTTCAATTATTTGCAACAATTTCATATAAATCACGTTGCCTCCAGTTAGTTATCTTTGATTCATATAAAGAAAGGGAATTTAAAAAAACTGACATATCGACTGGGCTTGTTAAGCATCTCAAACAATTTATTCTCAAGTGTTTCATTTTTAGATTAGTTCATTGATAAAACGCATATTCCATGCGTAAATCACTTTAGTGCATCATTCATTTTTACTGCAATATGTGAAATTGACTGGTGGAATAAAACAACTGCTGCCACTGATGACAAACATAAAACCTTGACTGGTCGGATTAGAGTGAAACGTTATTACTTAAATAGTTGATTAAACAACAAATATACGTTTTCGGAAGGCTTAGCATCTCAGCATTTCGTATGCAGCGGATATATAACAGCATATCGACGACGCAAGTCACTGTATAAGTGGCATGCGTTGATGTGCACAGCTACATCGACTACACACAAACAGAGAGCGCAGAGTTTTCCTACAAAATGCTGAGATGCTGCAGCATCACAGACAGTAATTTTGGACAACCCTTGGCGGTTTTTTAGACAATATACCAATCCATCCATATTTTCGGACAACTTCACTCATATTGTCCTGTTTTGTGGCCAACTTCATACTTATACTATAATGGCATGTTATTATAGTATTAGTATGAAGTTGGCCACAAAACCGGACAATATGTGTGAACTTGTCCAAAAATATGGATGGATTGCTATATTGTCCGAAAAATAGACGCCTATTGGAAATAAATTGTATCTGTGTGAGCCATCCGAAAACGTATGTTTATTAAATGTATTGTTCAATATCAATTGTCAAAGTAATTAGAGATAAAAATGATGTTTTGTCAATAAATACCGAGGATTAGCACAGCGAGTCAGCTAGTGATACGGCAACACAATCACAAATAATTCAGTAGTTTGAAAATCATGCAGGAGCCGAGTGCCAAATATCAATATCTCACCGCATTAGTTGGTAGAGATGCAATAAAAAGTTTTATACCTGCTATAGCAAAGAATCGTGCTTTTTGACAGATGTATTAAATTGAATGTTTTCTATGTTGGTCCATGGATCGCATCATTTATGTGTATTGGTTGCTTATTCGGAAACATATTTTTTGGCTTTATCATCAACCGATTCGGTCGAAAGATACCTTTGATTATCATAACAATACCCACTGTTGTAAGTGTATTGACAAAGTCCAAATTTTTGCTCACTTTTTAACAACAATATACAAATAAAAATTAAATTAACGGATTGATTGGTCTAATTTCGCAGATTGGTGCACTGCTCATTATATACACTCCAAATGGATACTACTTGTGTGTGGCAAGATTTATCAATGGGTTTGTGGGAGGCGGAGGTTACCAGATTGTTCCGCTACTTCTCGCCGAAGTGGCTAACAATCGGTAAAACCATTTTATTCAAACCAAAAATGAATGAATGACTGTATAAAACTCATTTTACAGTATTCGAGGCACCACAGTTTCATCGCTGGTCCTGACCGAGAATTCCGGCATTTTACTAGCCTTCATTATTGGAAGCTATTGTGATTACTATGTGACACCGACAGTTGTGGCTGCTTTAACTGTGATATTTGGCGTTTTGCTTTGTTTCTTCCCCGGAACACCAACATTCCTTGTGAAACAAAACCGAATAACTGAAAGAACAAACAAATATCAACTATCCAACAAACTTTCTGACTAACAACTGATCGGGGTCTTTGTAGGAAGCTAAAAAGTCAATTAGATTCTACCAAAACCTACGTGAAGGAGAAACAGATGACAAATTGGTCGAAATTGAAAAAGAAAAACTGAAGTGTACGGTCAGTGATGGTGAAATGGAGAAAAACAGCGAAAAATCCTTTGAGTGGTCTGATTTGAAAACGAAAACTGTACGAAGGGCAATGACAATCGGATTGGTTTTGGTCGCTCTGAATCAGTTCAGTGGATGTGTTACGATGTTGAGCTATACTGTAAACATATTAAAACAAGATGCCTTACATTCGTAAGGTTAACTTTTCTACACTCCCAAACATATAATTTCCAATTAAATCCAATTCTCCATGCATTGAAATTAAGAAAGCATCATATTTTAATAAGACCTAAATATCAGAGCGATTTCAATACTCTGTTTTTCATACATTGTGACATAGCAGAATTCTTAACGTGTTTTTTGAGTACAGCGTATAGTGTACCACGCGCCTACATACCATAAATAACGCTAGAATTCGAGATTTTCGGCGTTTAAAAATCGAAAAAAAAACTGCTTTTTAATAGATCAAAAAATCTGGGTGAACGCTATTCTCATTTTTTGCGTACAGCTTACAGCGTACAGTGTACCACACACATACCCTACGACCCTAAAATAACACTAGATTTTTTCGATTTTTGGCGTTCATATGTCTATACAGGGTGTAACAGAATTGCGTGCCAATATTTTAACCACGTATTGCTGGGGCCAAGACCTATCGAAAATGTAGGAAGCACTTTTCTGAATTCGGCCTTTATGCCAAAGTTTTGGCCATCGGCGAATTTTTGGCCGAAAATTCGTACTATGGCAAGGTGGTCATATCTTAGGCTATTGCGTACGTATTTTTGATCACAACTACATAAATATTGGTCTATTTGAAAGGTATTGAGGTCCTTTTAGTGACACTACATGAATTTTGTACAAAAATATCATTTGGCTTGGCCAAAAATGGCGCCGGCTAGAATGTTTTGAAAAATCAGAAAAGTTGAAGAAAATAGTAATTTTTCTCGAAAAAATACGTTATTAACATATCATTTTCTAATCGAAAATGGAAAGAGCATACAATTTTAGGGTGGTATGCAAAAATCTGTATCTCAAATTTGTTTCTATCGGCCGCAATGCATCATCGAATTCAGTCCTCGTTGGCCTGTTTTTGACCAAATATGGCATATTGAATATTTAACATATTTTCGGCGTATTTTTTGTTTTAGTTACATAAATTGTGATTTTTTTCGAAAGATATTGAGGCCCTCTTTAAGTATCAGAAGAAGAAGTATTGAAATATTGACACAACCAAAGTTCAGTTTACTAGCTAGAACTTTGGCGTACACAATTCTTGCAAAAGTATCGGGCTGTTTTATTATTTCTTCCATTGGTGATCAATAGAGACACATAAGTGATGATATTTTGCGTTAAAACATGGATTTTTGTTGATTTTCGTGGTTTTTTAGCGGTTTGGAGTCGGCGCCGTTTTTGGCCATTTCTGGCCATTTTTGGCCGTTCTTGTGTCAATATTTCAATACTTCTTCTTCTGATACTTAAAGAGGGCCTCAATATCTTTCGAAAAATATCACAATTTATGTAACTGACACAAAAAATACGCCGAAAATATGTTAAATATTCAATATGCCATATTTGGTCAAAAACAGGCCAACGGGGACTGAATTCGATGATGCATTGCGGCCGATAGAAACAAATTTGAGATACAGATTTTTGCATACCACCCTAAAATTGTATGCTCTTTCCATTTTCGATTAGAAAATGATATGTTAATAACGTATTTTTTCGAGAAAAATTACTATTTTCTTCAACTTTTCTGATTTTTCAAAACATTCTAGCCGGCGCCATTTTTGGCCAAGCCAAATGATATTTTTGTACAAAATTCATGTAGTGTCGCTAAAAGGACCTCAATACCTTTCAAATAGACCAATATTTATGTAGTTGTGATCAAAAATACGTACGCAATAGCCTAAGATATGACCACCTTGCCATAGTACGAATTTTCGGCCAAAAATTCGCCGATGGCCAAAACTTTGGCATAAAGGCCGAATTCAGAAAAGTGCTTCCTACATTTTCGATAGGTCTTGGCCCCAGCAATACGTGGTTAAAATATTGGCACGCAATTCTGTTACACCCTGTATATCATCTGCCCCCATTCATTTTTGTTTTGCTCATTAAGCTTGTTGAACATTTCATTCTCAAGTGTTTCACTTTTAGATAATATTCGAATCGTAAATCACAAGTGTGCGATTCGTAAGCCCTGGCCACAACTATGTGTCTGATTAGATTCAGTTGAGTTGGTCGATTGATTCGACCAATTTTCCAATCGTCACACATTCCTCATTTGTGACTTTACCGGGTCATTAACGGAGAGTAATTGAATGATCGCATTGTTTTATCATACAAAAAATGATAAAGCGATTTAAAGAAAAAAAAATTTACAGATAAAAGATAAAATCAACCGTTTTGCCATAAAACACGAGAATTTGCACAGATTTTTCATTAGTTAGCTAGTGATTTTCCAACACAAAAGATCTATTGATATATTTTTGAGTGCAAAAAGTATAAAGTTTGGAAATAATGGAGGCCAATGCAAAAATCATGGAGGAGCCAAGTGCCAAATATCAATATCTCACCGCATTAGTTGGTAAAGTTGGAGAAAAAATAAAAATTTGAAGGAAATTCAACTATATCAATTAAAATTGAACAGCGAACTTGTTAACGATCGCCTTTGGAATGACCGAGGGATGGACAAGCCCAAGCGTTCTTTTGTTGACATCAGATGAATCGCCATTGCCATCGGGAAAAATTACCATGGAAGAAGCTTCATGGATTGCATCACTTTTATGCCTCGGTCTCTTTGGAAATATATTTTTCTGCTATGTTATCAACAAATTCGGAAGAAAAAAACCACTACTACTCATCACCGTTCCGACCATCGTAAGTAGTGTTTCCAGTTCTTGAATAAAGATCCAGTGTCAATCGACGCCATTATTGTCAGTCAGGATCCCATCATAGATCATGTTTGAGTTGCATATCAATTTATTTTTAGATTAGTTGCTTGCTCGTCATATACGCTCCAAATGCATACTATTTGTGTGTGGCCAGATTTATCAATGGGTTTGTTGGCGGCGGAGGTTACGTAAGCTTACTTTGATAGAACATTTTTTGAATTAGACTTTGGGTATCCTTTCATAGATGTTAACTTTCGACATTTTTTATCCTGTTAACCAATATTATCCAAAGGTCATCGTTCCAATATACTTGTCCGAAATATCATTCGATCGGTAATATTTTGATGCAAATCACAAGAATAGAAACGGGAAGTGGAATTTTTTCAATAATTTGAAACCGTTTCTTTACAGTGTTCGTGGGGCCATAGTTACATCATTGGTGGTGACTGAAAATTTCGGCATGTTAGTGTCATACATTATTGGAAACTTTTATGATTTCTACGTGACACCGAAAGTTATGATTGTTTTAACGGTTATATTTGGTGTTTTGCTTTGTTTCTTCCCTGAGTCGCCGACATTCCTTTTGAAACAGAACAGAATTTCCGTAAGCAAATTAACTCTAAACGAGAATTACATATAAAATTTTGTACTTTTAATAGTTTAAGCATAAAAAATGCTTCCAGGAAGCTGAAAGGTCGATTCGATTTTATCAGAACTTGGGCGAGAATAGCAAAGATAATAAATTATTAGAGATCGAATTGACCAAACTAAAGAGTGCCGTCTGTGATGGTGAAGATGAAAAAAGCAAAGAAAATGCATTCGATTGGTCTGATCTTAGAACAAAAACAGTACGAAAGGCTATGACAATTGGAGTTATACTAGCTTCGCTGAATCAATTCAGTGGAGTTGCAACGATGTTGAAGTGAGTTGCTGAAAACGCTGAAGATATTGAGTCAAAAATGTGTAATTAATCTTTTTTTGTTCAAAATTTCAAAATATTCAGTTATACCGCAACTATTTTCCAAGAGGCCGGTTCCAATCTAACTCCAAATGTATCAACAATTATCATTGGAGTAATTTTAATGTTTAGTGCGCTCATTGCTGCTCAACTCGTTGACCGAGCTGGACGAAAGGTGGATATAACTCGAAGAAATACCTTCTTCAATAGCACACATGCATTTTTACGTGGTATTTTATTTTCAGATCTTATTCGCAGTATCGAATTTTGGAACAGCGCTAGGTCTAACCGTGTTGGGAGTATACATGTCCCTTAAGTCAAGTGGTTACCCCGTCGAAGCTTTCTATTGGCTTCCAGTTACGTGCTTTTCATTTGTCATTTTTGTCGCTGCATTGGGAATTTTATCAATACCTTTCATCGTGTTGGCCGAAATCATGCCCGAAAAAGTCAAGGATTTTAATGTTTCGGTGTGCATGACACTTCTGTGGATCTTCGCATTCCTCACCACCAAGTATTTGCCATTTTTAACGGATTTTCTTGGTTTCGGTGGGAGCATGTTCCTATTTGCTGGAGTGTGCGTAGCCTGTGAACTATTCATAATGTTCTTTATGCCAGAGACAAAGGGCAAAAGTCATGAAGAAATCATGGAATTGCTTCGATAAGATCATTATTGATTTAATCATTAGAAAATTATCCCATAAGTCTAAGTAATAAGTGTCTAAATAGCTGAATGATGTCATGAATGACTAGGCTAATTGTAAGACTTGTAAATAAATTGAAACTGTGATCAACCGCACGCTGTGATCCGTCAATAATTGTTATACAAAATGAGTATGTCGACTAAATACTTGGTATGTATTACTTCTGATTTGATGAAACTCGCTTTCTTACAATTTTTATAACAAAAATAAATAAAAAGTCAAATAAAATTGAATATTTCGATTTTTTAATCGAACACTCATAATTCATAAATAGTTTGAATCAATTGCAATTGATTACGACATTTATGGGAGGCTCGTTCCTTTTTTATAATAATTAGAAATTATGATTAATCCATATTTGGAATGGTAAACAAAGAATCAATTGGACACGTGTCTTGGAATCTTATCGAAATGTTAGATTTAATCGTTTCGAACAATAAATTTCAATCTACAAAAATAAATGCATAGTAAACATGCCACACCATTTTAATTTTCCAAGGTAAAGCTTGGGTCACACGCTATGGAAAACTACCATATTTTCATACCCGGCCAGCACAATTTATCTTAACAACTACCTGGAATTTTTAGTAAATAGTTGGAATACACACGATAAATTGTATTGGCCGGGTATAAAAATATGGTAGTTTTCCATAGCGTGTGACCCAAGCTTTTTAAAAAACAAAAATCCAGTTAATAAAATCACAGGTGGAATCACTTCTGTTGCTACCATATGTGTCCTTCATTTATTATGTGATTTGAATGAAAATTTGCATTTTTATTGATTTAAAACGCGCTCATCATAAAACTAGCGATTCGTTTCTACTAAAGTCAGTTCATTTCTATCTGTTTTGTGAAGCTAAACGACTTTAAATGAAGTTTATTGGTTTTTCGCTGCATTTTTTCTCTTCGACCAAATCTAAGCTGAAGAGTATTTCCCGATTTTTTGAACAAAATTTGTTTCTTCGAAAATTTTGTAGACAAACCAATCTCCATGGGTTCAATCACATTGCCAACAGGAATTATACGGCTCTTGAAAGGTTTCAGTTTACCTTTTTCCCATTTCTGCATGGAGAATCCAAATTTTATTTTCATTCCAGAGTCGGCTGGCTAACTTTGGTCCTGTTATTCACTTATTTCGCCTTTTCCATTTGTATCGATCAAGTGTCACGATTCATAAGTGATCCATTCATTTTTACTGTGGAAATGAATGATAAATTTCGGACTTACAATATGCCAGCAATCACAATTTGTTCAGATTATGTAAACGAGAGTTTTATTGACAAGTACTATCAACGGTCCGAAAATATTTCTTCAATCAATCATCACTCAAGAGCCTATCGTGACTACAATCATTACATGAAAATAATTGGAGCTTTGAATGCTGAAAATATCCATTTGATCAATGATTTTGAAAATACGGAATTATTCAAAGGGCTCAGCGGAGAAGAAATTTTCAACATCGCACTGAATGTATGTACATTATTTGTGGTAATGCAATCTTGAAACTTCTAACATCAACAATTCCAACAGCAAAAGTATATCAACGGAGAGCAATTAATCGGAAAGGAAGTAAACAATGGAGCAAGATGTAAGAACATTGTTTGTTGTAATTTAATCGTTAAATTATCAACGCCTTTTCAATAATTCAATAGGAAAATGGAACTTACATTCCATACACTAGCTTGATTCGTCCCGTTGTCACGGAAGCGGGAATATGTTGGTCAAGCACGAAACTCTTCAAATACTTCAAAGCAATACACCATGGGTATGATATCTATTATAAACAAACTAGGTACTAGTTGAACTAGCTGGGAAGATTTCTCACGAAAAAAATGAATGAATTCTTATAAATTTTGAAAAATTCCTTCAATTCGGTCCGATTCGATCAATTTTTATCGATTCGTGTAAATAAATGTACCTTTACACTGAACTTTTGAATTATGCTTCAATTAAATTGTTCTGGAAGTGGGTTTTGGTGGATCTCAAGGATCGTTCAGAACTGCTCCCGGTTCAGGAAGTGGATCTTCAGGATGGGCCAGGGCAATGTCATAGACTAAGAGCCAGTG